GCTTTCTCTGGGGAGAATGTGGTCAATGAGTTCAAGGAGGTATTGGAGTAACCTATGTCACTATTATGTGCAGACTCGAGGACCCCTGGAGGTTTTTGAAGTTTAGGAATCCCACCATGGTGCACTGCAGGGGAGCAACATATATGTTGTAGATCTGTTTGCTTGGTCACATAGGAGTCCCTCTTGCATCAAAGATAAATGGGAAAATTGAAGAGAAAAAGTGATTAATGCAGAGGTATCAAACTGGTTTGGCCCCATGGGCCAGATCCAAAAAACAGGCCTCCTTACATGGACAATCCAGACCCACATCCAGCAATGGGATAGTTGTTAGTGACATCAGGAAGCCAGGGAGATGAACATGCCCCATTGCTTACCTCCCGCTACTAAAATGTGTCCCCAGTGGGGCTCTGTACCCCAGCTTTCATTGGCTAGCTCCACTCCCAAATTATTAGCCTCTCCAGGAGCTTTGTGGGCTGGGAAAGATGGCTCTTCAGGTCATACATTTGACATCCCTGGCTTAATGCATGAAAATCCTGTATGGTGATTGGCTGTATAAACATGATTGATAGATGTCTGTTCTGGGTTAATTAACACAATATACAAGCAATCTGTTCCTTTAAATGAATAAACTTAAAGAATGAGAAGTAGTAAATAGAAAATAAAACTTCCACATGCTTTGAGGAAATCAGGTTTGTTAAGTAAAATAGTGTGATTATTACAGGAACAAACCTTTCAGCTCTAGAGACCTTCATTCAAATTTAAATTAGTACACAAAAATATTGGAAATATCAGGCTGGTAAACAAAAGATGTCAGATTACAAAAAAAACACCCCCAAAATGGCATAATTCAACACACTGAATACTATATTCTGTTCAAGTAGACAGTGCCCAGCAGTGTGAGAGTCACTGAACATCAGGAATGAGGTGTGTTGGAAGAGATTTGAGTAATGGCCCTGCATACTGCTTGCCTGTGCTATGCATGACTAGCTAATATTTTAAATCCCTCACTGAGCACTGTAGTCCACTCAAAGGTTGGGTTTTTCTGGTGGTGTTGTTTTTGGGTTTTTTTAAAGGTTCCATTAGATAAGGACTGTCCTAGTTTATGAAGCGAGAGGTTGCTATCCAAGTGGGAGAGAGAAATATCTGTTGAAAATGTAAATGAAGCACTGAAAAACAAGGCATCCTGAGCACAGACTGCAATCCTAAAATAAGTGAGAAAGTGGGGGAAAGGAAAATACTTTGAGCACAAAGAGTTCAGAGAAACAGAATGAAAGGAGAATGAATTGTTTAATTCCTATTTTTGTACATTCTGGGCACATTAAATGAGACAAAAGAATTGAGACAAGGAGAGAAACAAAAACGCATGTATTGCTTTAATTGACAATGGTTAATTTATTCTCCGAGATAGCATGCTGTTTAACTAGCTCAGCATATATTCCATCTAAACAGAGAGAATTGCTGAATAAGCTAAACAGAATGCTCAGAACAGCAAACTAATTAACTGAAAGACAGCCAAAAACTGGCGTCTGGTTTTCTTTTAATGCCTGTTTGTTTTTTCTCTCAAAAACCATCATAACTTGTAAACTTTATAACACAAGAAAACTCCTGGCAAAATACAGCAAACCCAATGAGATGAAAGGGAAAGTAATATAGAAATCTTGAGAACTGATCTATTTTGTGGTGCGCATTTATAGCATGTAAGTGCTTTGCAAACATAAATAAATTTATCTTTATCTGACCCCGCTTTGTGAGGAGGTGGTGTTTTCTTCAGTACAGATAAAGGGGTACATTAATTTTGGGTACAAAACTCAAAATACTTACAGTCTGGTTATTTTTTTCCTTCAGAATATAGTTATAGTTATTCAGCATTATAATACTTTGTTTAAAATACAGCTCCTACAGGCTTCATTTGCAGGTCTGACTGCTCAGCGCTTTTGTAAATCAGTCCCTAAGGTGTCTCATGCTTGGTACCGAGAAAATGAGCAGCACACAACTAGTGACAATCTGTGAACATTTTAGTTTAAATTATTTGTCCAGTGTCTGAGAGGAACTGTAAAGCTGAGGCAAGAATAGAATCTAGTTTTCTAGGATGGCATTCTACCATAATTTAAAACTGTCCTTTCTCTTCCTGTAAGCCCTTATTTACTAAACACCTCTGAATATCAGGTACAAATGAAGTGATGTTCCTATAGATTCTTTCTCTAGGAAGCTTCCTACAATGGCAAAAGAACAGTATCTGATCAGATAATTAAACACTGAATTGTAATGCATATGTGCAAAAGGGCCCAATTAAATTTAAATGGGAGACTTAACTCTGGCATTTCCTCACTTTTGAGTGCTTGACCCAACAAACTTAATGTAAGCTTTTGGAATCAAGTTTCGTATATAAAAAACAAAATACACATTTCATCACATTGTATGATGACCCCAGTTTGAGTACGTTCCATATCATTAGACTCACACCACCATCTTCTACCACTTGAGCTAACTATGGATAAAAACAGATGTTGCCATGCGCAGGTCAGCGTGGGTAATGTGGAGGCATTGAATGTTGGGAAATCCCCAGGTCCCACGCTGCCTTGTATCTTTTTGTTGGGACCTATGCCCACCCATGCCTATGTGTAAACCACCAGTTGGTACAGGTCCCAGCATGGTGGCATGGAGTGCTGGAGATTCTCTCCGCTTATGGAGACATGCCCTTGGAGATGCTGGGGCAGGTCTCTGCAAGTGGCTAACCCTGACGTTCCCTATTTACAGGGAGGTACTCTAAGATTCCTTGGGACGTGTCTCTATAAGCTGGGAAAGCCAAGTAGGTGATCGATCCCAAGGCCTTTGGGGGCTCAATCCTGCACAGCAATTCTTGGGATGCTCAGGATCAGCTCCCTCAAGCCTTTGGAGCACCTGTCCAGGATGGCTGGAGAGTAGAGGCAGCTCCAGGATGTCCACGCTCTCTTGGTACACAGCAAATAGAAGTCTGCTGCAATAAAGTGGCACTGTTTTATACTACTTTTCATCATTTCACTGATATAGGCTAGAAACATCTATTTCCTCACCATGTATGCCTGCATAAAAAAGTGTATGGTGGCACAAATGTAATGTGAGGTGATGCCTGTTTCTAGCCTGAATAATAATAAGCAACAGTAACCTGCAGTCTCTTAGATGTGAGACAGGGATGACGCTCGCACTTTTTTCCAATAGATTTCATAGCTGTTCCTTGACGTTACAGGAATAGAGAGCTACAGGACTTCTGGGTACACTTCTAGGTTACGGAATCTGTAGTAGTTATTGACTGTTTTGTTCTGTACCCCAAGTCTGCCCTTCTCCCTTCTTCTGTTCTGCCTGCCGTGGTTCTTGTCCCCCTCCGGTACTGGATCTCTCTTCATCCTTATCCCATGGCATCTGCCATCTCCTGTTTTGTAGTCATAGTCCCACCTCTCCAGCAATGCTTGTCCTCTCCCCTTTCTGTTCCTACCATAGCCCTCTCTTCCCTTTCTACTTCCACTCCCCTCTACATTCTTGCCTCCCAGTTTCTTCTTTCTTTTCCCAACTGCCTGCACACCAGAAGAGGAGGAACAACATTCCTGGTCTTGCACATTGTGGTCCTGCATCACAGCACTGCTAGAGTCAAGCAGTGCAACTTTCAGGGAAGTTCTCAGCCCCTGCAGTCCAAAAAAGGAAGCCTGCTCAATACAAATGTATTGCCACACAACCCCTGCAATGGTTGGCCATCCATGCCACAGGCCTCTACAAATTATTCAGGGGAATTCACCTGCCAAATTTTTGTTAGTTTCTGCTGAACTCGCGGGATTTGCAGCATATCAGAGATATATAACTCAGTCATATTTGGTGATTTTTTTACGGAGAAGGAAAAAAAGAATACTTTGTCTTCAGGACAAATTTCAACCTTCTTTTCAAATCCAACCAAAAGATTAGAGCTCTTGCTGATATGGTTGTAAGAATTATTTTAACATGGGCAAAATATTTTTTTCACTAATCTTATTTGCAGAAAAAGCAGATAGTTTAATATTAAACCATTTAAAAAAAACAAAAGACTTTGGCTTGAGGCACACATCTTAGGTGGAAAAATTTAACTGAAACAGTTAGCTCTGAAAACGTATAAGCGCTAAATACAGTCTACCATCTCCAGCCACAATTTTAATAAAGCTCATTAAATCATTTTTTCCTATTTTACTTTTATTGTTTGTTATATGATATTCATAGATTCATAGATTAAGGGTCGGAAGGGA